CATATATCTTTAACCCGTCTTACAACAGCACCGTGCTGACATTCACATCCCCCCCGTCCCGAGCCCAGTGCAGAGCAACATCAAAGATGTCATCAAATTCATGTAGAGACAAAAATAATAATAATAGTAATAATACTAAAAATACTGAGCTAATGATGAAAGAAAAACAAAAAGTAAAAAAATAAAAATAAACAAAAACATTCACACAGAACAACAATTAATAAAAAAGAAAATAAATCATCGATACTTTCTGTTCACTATTAAAGGAAGCCTCCGCTCTCCTCCAGAGACACACCTCCAACCCCTCTCCATATACATTAACAGGAAGGAGTTAAGCGTAAGCGGTGGACTAAATCTTCCTTTGCTCGAGCTGCAATTGCCTGTGGTCTGCATTGTTGTGCTAGCATGCTACTGTTAGCACAGTAAAGTTAGCTTGTAGCTTCAAATTGTATATAAATTGGTACAGATAACAATCTAAAAATGCTTATGTGATATCAAAATAATCAGTGAGTATGTTCTTCTTCTTCTCTCTAGTTCTTGACTAAAACAGCTTTTATACACAAGGGGAGGAGCCGGCCGTCCCATCCATGTAAACACGGCTCTGACAACAACACAGCCAGCGGGACTCGAGCTTCTCCCTCATTGTAGACAGTCATGACTCAGAGACACATTTACACAGGATAGACTTGATTTCTGATATATTCATGTGTAAAACATCTCACATTGTCCCTTTAGTCTCGCTGGGCAGGTAAATATCGCTCATCATCGACGTGAATGTAAATAAAAATACTTTTCAAAGAAACAGACCATCAGATCAACAACAGAAACGTATAGCTGCCTCCATATTTTCCAGGATTTAAACATTAAAGAGCCCATATTCTGCCCTTTTTGGGGTTCGTATATTTAATCTATGTTCCTACTTTTGTACGTTCACAATAGCTAAAGTCTGAAAAAAGTGTCTGTTTTCATGAACTGCTCCTCCTTGCTCCCTCTCCACTCTGAGTCCGTCAGCTACACTCTGTTGAGCCCACACTGTTAGACCCCACATGGGCCAAGTCTGCTCTGATTGGTCTGCCGATCCGCTCTGTCGTTATTGGTCAGTTGCTCAGCACGCTTCTCTGAAATTTCAACATGAGCTGCAGGGCTTGCCACAACGAGCCAATGTGCTTAGATCAGTGATCTCACACTGACAATGACATCGCACTGACAAATTTTTATCGATGGGGGCTAGAACCGAGCGTTACATGCGGCTAATGCTACAGCTAACAGGAGGACGTAGGAGAAGCTGCGTTTCCACAGACTTTGAATTTTTGCACATAGATGTGACTAAACATGCACAGGACACTTGAAAAACACACTAAAGAGCATATAAAACCAGAAAAAGAAGAATATGGGACCTTTAACAAACATTTACATTTCACTTAAAATTGAACACATTGAGCTGCACACAAGTATTATTACAAAACTCAGACTAACTGTGTTTAAGGTATAAGAATGGAAAAATGAAATGAAGTTCTTGTAATAATATTCCCACCTAAATCGAGTTGAAGAGCTTTTTTATGACGTTCAAAATAAAACAATTCAACAACTGAACCCTCATGTCTCTCTCCTCTCTCTTTTAAGCGTCTAACCTGGAGCTGCATCAAGAGAACTATTCCTCAACTTCCTCTAATTAGTAAAGTGTAAATCTCTCACAGTGTTTAGCAATCTTTTCTTTTTTTGAACACAAATAACACTTGTTGCTTGAATGTGGGCAGACCACATCTGCTTTCTGGTTCCTTCTTCCTTTATCTGTCATGAAGTTCACACTCTGTCGATTTAACCTTTTCTGGGTTTCTACAGACTCTCGGATGTGACTCAGAGCATACAGAATGATCTGAGCAGTGATGATATCGATGTTTAAATGAATGCAGGTCAAAAGACAACAGGTACAGAAATAATAAAAAAGTGTACAAATCTTTAACTACAACTTAACACATGCACATCAAAGTGCCTGCTGCGTATATAAACTTATTTTAAAAGCTGGTTTATATGGAGCTCCTGAAGTCCTAAAAAGTGGAAAAAATATCTTGTGAACTTGAGTTATCATCTAACTTGTGCACAAGATGCTATGTTGTGCACATGAGTGAATATCCTGTGTGCAAGGTTTAAGACAAGAAACAGTTAAAGGCTTTATATGTGATTTTTTGATCCAGTAGATGTCGCCCTTGAGCACCAGCATGAAACCAAAACAACTCGTTGTTGTGTTAGCATTCTAATGCTAGCAATCTTTATTATGCTGGTATCTTCACACTGCATGTAAATTTACCTGAAATGAGCGTGATCTAGAAACACAGTTAAGCAGTGAGTACAGTATGTTATTCTTCTTTTCTCTAGTTAAACAACTTTTATACACGAGGGGAGGAGTCAGCCGGCCGTCCAGGCGATGTAAACAAAGTGAAGATAGGACTCTGAAAACTCTGAAAACATCACAGACAGTGGGACTCGGGTGTTACACCCATTGTAGACAGTCATGACTCACAGAGTTTTTTTCAGAGGATATTCTTGATTTCTACATTTAAGTGTGAAAAATCACATATAAAGCCTTTAACGTTAACAGACTTGAGCATATAATCAAAGGTTTTTCTGAATACCAGTTCTCAATATAATTATCTTGGGCACAAAAGTTAATATCTTTAAGATTTTTTTCGAAAACCTTTTTGGGATTTCAGGATCTCCGTAGATTTACATTTCATGCAGAGGTATTATGCTAGGTCTTTGTGCTACTAGTAAACCTACAACGCCCTCTTTTGAAGGAAAAGCATCTTACAGCAATAACTCTTGAAAGTTAACAACACAAAGTCTCATACAAACACATCTATCAGTATCTGTTTTCTACTGAGCCCTGCAAGGCTCAGGTGAGACAAAAAATAAAAAGCTGTCAATCATTTCGACAAATCCATGCACACTGATTTACAATCTGTGGGCACAGATTCCTAAATGGTGCACACAGATTTCAAAACAGTGCAAGCAGATTACAAATCCGTGCACACAGTTTACAAATCCATGGGCACTGTTTATAAACTGTGCACACAGATTTGTAAACCGTGAAATAAGGTTTTCCAAATTGCTTTTTATTTTAGTCCTACCTGAGCCTTGTAAGGCTCTGTAGTTTTCAGTGTAGAAACCTGAAAAAACCTGAGTTGTGACTTTACTTTGGATTCTTATTTCTTCTCTTTGTTGATGGTGGCGTAGAGGATGCTGGGATCAGCAGAGGCTCCTGCAGCAGCAGAAGAAGAAGAAGAAGCTTTGACGGAGGCATAGGTCACTGAACCATCGTCAGCATCGTCTTTAGCACAAACCTGGAGATAGATCACAGAGCATTAAATAACACAAAATGACATCATTAAATGCAAAGTGCAAGTTGATACATGGAGAATAAAGTCGACATGTTGAGAATGAAGTTAAGCTGTTGTTAGTAAAACTAAAATAAATAGAATGAATTCTAAATGTTCAGATAAAAGTTCACATCCATCCTGACTTTAACCAATCACACAGCTCACCCGAGCTCCTCTTTTCCCCTTCTTGTTGTATCTGATGGAGGCGTAGGAAACCCCGCCTTCAGGATCAGCCTACACAGAGAAGACAACAAAACAGCTGCTCAGTAACGTTTATCGTGACCTGTGCTTTTTTTTTTGGGGGCTTTTGTGTCTTTAATGGAGAGATAAGACAGTGGACATAGACGGAAATCAGGGAGAGAGAGAGTGGGGATTGAGGACTACAGCCTCCATACATGGGACACACGCACTAACCACTGCGCCACCAGCGCCCCTGATGATGATTTATATATTTTGGGCATTTTGGTTTCTGCTCTCGTATGATGGTATCCAAAGATTGACCCTCATAATGTCTAAATTGATCAAGTCTCTTCAGCAGCGGGTCAGAACAAACATCGTAATCAAACGTTTTGGGACTTACAACATCGTCACCCATCTGCGTTCTGTTTCCTGTAGAGACACAGAAACAGCTGGACTTTAGCTTCCAAACAAGAAATATGGATCATCCAAACTTCTAGATATTAAAATGTGTTGGTAAACTGAAGCTAACAAACATTAAACTTCTGTAATTAAAGTTTTTTTTCTTCATGAAAATGTTCATCTGTGCTCTCACCTTTCCATCTGATGACTTTCACAACGACCACTAACAGAACTATAAAAACCACCACGGGCACGAGGATCAACCACCAAAGCCAGTCTGCCAGAAAAATGAAAATATGTGAAGCATGATGACCTCAGACTTCTGTCCTTAATCTGAATCAAACACAGAGAGGAGAAGACAACAGGAGACTCTACCTCCTGCAGGAGTTGTTGTTGTTGTTGTTGTTGTTGTTGTTGTTGTTGGTGGTGGTGGTGGTGGTGGTGGTGGTGGTCTTGTTGTTGTTGTTGTTGTTGTTTTGTTGTTGTTGGTGGTGGTGGTCTTGTTGTTGTTGTTGTTGTTGTTGGTGGTGGTGGTCTTGTTGTTGTTGTTGTTGTTGTTGTTGTTGTTGTTGTTGTTGTTGTTGGTGGTGGTGGTGGTTCTGGTTTGGTGTCCTCACCTGAAGTTGAGAGAAACACAACTAAACAAACTGTTCAGCACTAAACTTGTGTTTTCATATAAAATTCAAACTTCAAATCCAAAAAAAACATTTAATATTTGAAGTATTTCCAGTCCAAAGTAAGGATGGAGATATTATCAGAGAAACACAACAAGAGACAAATTAACTTCATCAGAGTCTTTATAATTATTGTAATGTTTCAGTTTATTGTTTGAATTAGAAAAGTTTTGTTTGAAAAGATTATTGAAATACTTACTCTTGGTAACAGAGAGATGAACTCGAGTCACATCGCCTGTTCTATTTCCTGATTTGAACTGTTCACACACATAACTTCCAGCATCCTCCTCTGTGATCTTCTTTATAACCAGAGAACAGTCCTCTGTAACATTCAGTCTGTCTGATTTAACTCCAGAGTTTTTAACCTGACCATGTGCAACCAGCTCTACTGCTGCTCTATTTCCTGACTCAACAAAGTTCCATGTCGTATATTCACACTTCTGTTGACCTTGTATCACAGTTTGACAAGACAACGTGGCGTTCTCTCCAAGTGAAGCTTTGACTGTGACTTCTTTAATTACAGCTGCTGCTGTTGATAAAATGACAAAGAATAAAGTAAATCAATAAAATGTTGATTATATTCACAATCAGTTTGAGAATAATTCTTCATCTGTGGTTTCTCAGAGTTCATTAAATCCATCATGTTTAAAAAAAGGTTAAATATGTGATATAAATGTTCTTACCAGCAAACTGAAGCAGCGCTGTGAGAAGTAAAGAAGTTTGAATCCATTTGAGCTCGTTCATGGTGATTCTCCGTCTCTGTCCTCCCGTTGTCACGCTCCTAACTGTCTGAGTTTCTTCAGTAGTGCTTCTTTAAAGAGACGCTGCATCTACTTCCCTTTCTTAGTATGTCATCACTTCCTCATTTTGACTTCAAGCCTGCTTTAAGTGTTCACTTCTATGAATGTATCATAGTTATTAAAACATGATGTAACATGTTTAAGTGATCATAAACTGATGATCATTAAGATGAGCTGCATCGATCAGTAAAGATGTCAGAGGTCAGAGGTCACAGCAGATTGACGGAGATCCTGTCAAACTGTGATCAGTGTATGAAGAGGTCCGTCCCTCTGTCCTCCCGTTCTCACGCTCTCAACTGTTCAGTGAAATGTGTGAAGATTGTGAGTTCAGATAAACGTCTGAGAAGTGCAACGTTCCTCTTTAGATGGTGTTTCTGAGAACACAGTCAGGTTTATTAATGATGTCTGAGAGCAAAAAGTGAACAAAACATGGAGGGTCAAACTCCTTGACCTCCTGAATACAACTCTGAATGTCCGTCGTGTTTGAGAGATCAGAGATCAGATGTTATTTTAGTGCTCTGAGATGTGCTGACGCATCATTTTGAGTCTTTTCTTGAGAACTGAAGGGGAAGTCGTTTGGTGAGAATGTGGGTATCATCATCAGCAGCAGAGCCCTGGTCAAAACAAATGTAACCACATGAAGGTTATTGGCACATTTACAGTCGATGGTTTTTGGTCAGTGAGACGAGTTGCAGCAAACATTTCAACATTAAAGAGCGTCCTGAGAGCTGAAGGGGAAGTCGTTTGGTGAGAATGTGGGTATCATCATCAGCAGTCAAAACAAACATTTCCTCCTCATCTTCAAACTCCTCTGCACGCTGCAGCAACATGGCCGTACTCCTGACAGCAGAAACACCTGAGAGGAGCTCTCTCATAAGCTCTCACTCTGTAGCAAACATTATCTAAATACACTATATCAGCAAAATCTCCTTCAAACGACAAACACATCTATGCTGTGTCCTCCCTTTCCCCTTCATGAAACCTTGTCATTCTCCTTGCTTCACTCCTTCAATTGTCAGAAATGACTTTACAGACTGTGGTACACCACTCACCACTACCTTCTTTTTTGCCTCTGGTCCAAGGGAAAGCCATGTGAGAGCACTAGAACCATCTCCAAAGACACACATTTACATTTCACTTAAAATTGAACACATTGAGCTGCACACAAGTATTATTACAAAACTCAGACTAACTGTGTTTAAGGTATAAGAATGGAAAAATGAAATGAAGTTCTTGTCAAAATATTCCCCCCTAAATTGAGTTAAAGAGCTTTTTTATGCATTCAAAAGAAAACAATTCAACAACTGAACCCTCATGTCTCTCTCCTCTCTCTTTTAAGCGTCTAACCTGGAGCTGCATCAAGAGAACTATTCCTCAACTTCCTCTAATTAGTAAAGTGTAAATCTCTCACAGTGTTTAGCAATCTTTTCTTTTTTATAACCCAGTTTTTTAAAACAATGCAGCACATCTTATACCAAAAAAATAAAAAAATAAAAAGGTACAGAGCACTTAGGCAGAGCATGCAAGTCATCTCCTAGCATGAGATAACAAAAATAACAAAATAATGCCACAGACATAAGAGAGGTACAACCACCAACATGGATCCATTCTATGACCTTAGTTTAACATGTTGCCAAAACAGATACCATATCTCCGTCATCTTACCACCAACATTCATTTTTCACAACATGTTTTCATATGAAGAGATCTTAACCATTTCGTCAGTCCATTCCTTCACAGTGGGGCGCCTGGGGTCCTTCCAATTTCGCAGTATAATTCTCGCGGCTGTGATAAATCCAACCTTTAAAATGCTAAATTTGGGATTTGTAACATTAGGCACCAATGACTTGTCACCAAGGAGGCAAAGCCTTGGGTGCACTGGGAGAGTGACACCAATCCAATCCCCCAGTATCTCCAAAATACTACACCAAAATGGATGCAGCATAGCACATTCCCAGATCATATGTAAAAAAGTGCCCAGGTCGTTCTTACACTTCCAACACTGATTGTTATCAGCAATTCCCATCCTATGTAATCTAGTTGGTGTCCAATGAAATCTGTGTAATATTTTGTAATGAATAAGTTTCCCCCTGGCCTCTCTGATGTTTTTGCCCACATTTGAAAGAATATCTAACCACTCATCATCTTCAATGGTAGTTGCAAAGTCCTTCTGCCATACCAGTTTGAGATTACTGCAGCAATCCCCTGAGGATTTCTTGTACATTTTATAAAACACTGAGGCTTTATGATTTACCTGAAGTGACTTGAAAAACTGAATCAAGTGATTAAGTAACGGCTCTCCATTCTTATATATGCAACCAAGACAGTGCCTCATCTGTAAATATCTCCAGAAGTTTCCTTTATTTGTAAGTTTGTTTTTCTTTTGAAGGTCCTGATATGACATTAATACCCCCTTTTCATATAAATCGCCTATTGTGTTTATTGCCTTGGATTGCCACTCCTTCCAGTATGCTGTTTTCTTTCCGATGCGTAATTTAGGGTTGTTCCAGAGTGAAGAGTAATTTAAAAGTTGTATGAACTGCACTCCACACACTCCTTGAATAGGACATTATGGGATTTGAATTATTTTCTACCTGTTGGGATAAAATGGTAATGGGGCAGTATGGATTGACTACGCTCTGTTCTATGTTTATCCAATCTAGGTCTATATCTGCTCTGACCCAATGTTTCACCAACTTGATTATTTCAAAAGATAGGTTATATACTTTGACATCTGGCAAACCAAAACCTCCCTTGTCCCTGTCCATACACATCCTGGACATTTTAATTCTCGGTTTCTTCTTATCCCATAAAAAAAATCGTTAACAAGTTTGTTATAGTGCTTATGTATTGAATCTGGAATCTTTAAGGGTATCATAGAGGACAAATAATTAAACTGAGGAGCTACAATCATTTTAACCACATTCACCTTGCCCCAGAGAGATAATCTTAATGCTCCCCATTGATCTAAATTATTTTTTATCTTGCCCAATAAAGGATTATAATTTAGAGCAACCATTTCATCTAGATTCTGACTGAGTTTGATCCCGAGGTACGTCATTCCCGTTGGAACCCATTTCAAATTGAATTGAGATATTGTGTTAGTATTACATAGCCTCAGATTTGTTACAGTTCATTTTATATCCAGATAGCTCAGAGTACAGTTGTATAGTACTCATCAGATGTGGCAGAGAGCCAGAAGGGTCACCTATCAATAATAAAATGTCGTCCGCATAAAGCATCAGTTTATGTTCCCTTCCAGCTCCCCCCACTCCTCTAATATTTGGATTTGCTCTGATCATTGTTGCCAATGGTTCCAAAAAAATTGTGAAGAGCAGCGGAGAGAGGGGGCAGCCCTGACGTGTACCTCAGGAGACACTGAAAAAGGGGGAAATCATGCCATTTGTCATAACTGCAGCCTTGGGACAGCTATACAGTAACGGGGACTCTACTCTGAGAATTCAGACAGATTAAATGTAACAACCTCCTTAAATTATCAGTTGAGGACCTTCCTTTAATGAAGCCCACCTGATCAGCATTAATTATAGAAGGTAATACTTTCTCCAATCGTAACGCCAGAATTTTTGTGAGTATTTTGCAGTCCAAACTGATTCGACTAATTGGCCTATAGTTTGAGGGATCAGCTGCATCCCTATTCTTTTTTGGGATTAGCAAAATTAATGTTTCATGAAACGTATTGGGCAAGGATTCGAGATGAAATGCTTCTGAGTACACTCATGCTAAGACGGGAGCTAATATATCCAGAAATGTTTTGTAATATTCAATGGGAAAGCCATCCATGCCTGGAGACTTCCCCACTTTCATAGTTGCAATGGCTTGTTTAACTTCATCCTCTGTAATCGGTGCCTCCAAGGACTCTGCATGTTGTTGAGAGAGTTTAGGCAATTTTATGTTTGAAAAGAATTGATCCAATTAGTTTTGT